CTATTTACTATCTTATATTTTCAGAATTTGATTTTACATTCGTTTTTTTTTTTTTTTTTCTCAATGATTATTATTAAGAAAATGTTACATCCAACGATTATTTCCAATGCAAAATATTGTAATAAGCTATTATATATTTTAAAAAATTTAAAACCAAAACCCACCAGAAATAAAAAAAAAATACACATAGGTGAGATTGTTTGGGAGTTTGGATTTTGAGTCAAGATATGAATACTAAAAATTTTGAATTTTAATAGTTGTATAATGTGATATAAATAGGCGTTGATCTGAGGTTTTGAATGTAAAATTAATTTTTAGTATAACATAAAAAAAATAAAAAATAGGTGTTTGATTTGATTTTTTTTAGAGAAAAAAATTGGATGAATAATATATTTAAAATTCAATCCCAAAAAACACACCCTTGAAAATAGCAATTTATAAAATAAAAAGGCAAAAGAATACATCCTCATTTTGAACTTTGATATTGGCTTATTAAAAAAAAAAAAAAAAAAGGGAAAACTTTAATAATATTGTTTAATAATTTTTCTAGTAAAACCAATTCCATAGATATAGTCAATTTTTTTATAGTTTACTTTTCGATTTTCTATTTGGTAAAATTGTAAAATCTAAATAAATAGAGAACTGATAATTGGATTTAGATTGAGAATGGTTAAAATTTTAAAGTATAATAATTATACAATATAATATAAATAAATATTAATATACCATTTTATAAGTAAAAATAAATTTATATAAAAATACAAAATAATATCAATACTTTTTAAAAAAAAAAATTAAATCAAAACACTAAACAAAAAAACCTATATATAAAATTAATAAAAAATATTATGTAGATAATATAAAAATAATAAATGTGTATATTATATTAATTTCTTTTTTAGAAGTATGTAAAAAGTTTTGGGTAAAGTAACAAACCCTTAATTTAGTTTAAAATGTTCATTTTATAATTATCACAACTTTTTAATAAAAATATACTCTATATATACTTTTATAAAATATTACATCCATTTTATATTAATATTGAAATACAACAAAAATTCAAACTTTAAAATAATATTATTTTCGTCGACTCACAAAATATATAAATTTCTATTTTGGTATATCAAATTACAAAGTAATCATTTAAAAAATATTTTATTTTTTTTTACAAATATTTCATACTTTACCATTACATAATTACTTTTAACACAAAAAAATAAGGATAACATTATCTTTACACTACTTTTAATTACGCACTACAATTAAAATATTAATATTATTTCTTAAACTCTACGGAAAAAGTAAATATATACTTCATCCGTCAACTAAAAATAGCCAATTTGGGTCCAGCACGGAGTTTAAAGAAAGATAAATATTTTATTTTATTTTTTTGGATGATGTGGGAACCCGCAGCCGCTACCCGAAAGTGTGCACTGGGTAAACCTTCGGCCGAATCTAATACCGTGCAAACCAGGCCCGACGGGAAAGTCACACTAAGCGAATCATGTGTGGCAGGTGACCTGAGGCGTCGGGGGTTTAAACCCATGACCTTACAGTCACAACTCCAATCCCTACACCACTCGGTCATCCTTTACAGGACAAAAATAAATATTTTATTGAAAAAGTGATAGGTAGTTTGGGGTATTTTTGAAAATTTAGTTAGAAATGAAAGTAAATGAAGAGAGAATGTAATAAAGTTAGTGATATTTGTTGTAAATAAATGTTGAATGAAGGATAATAATTAAATATTGAAGGAAGGATAATAATTAAATATTGATTTGTTAACATTGTCAAAATTAATAATACAATAAATTTAGCGAACGAACTAAAAAAAAGTGAAAATAAAAGTACAAAAGTTTATTTACTTCAGGCAAAAAATTCAATCCCCTGGAAAACAGTTGGGTGCAATCGAAGCCGTCGGTCGCATATGTGTTGAGGATTTTGATACGAAGTGGCGGCCTTCTTAACACATTTCGGGGTTTGGATTTTGAATTGGAATTTGAATAGTAAAAATTTTGAATTTGAATTGTTGTATAATGTGATATAAATAGACGTTGATTGATGTAATGTTTTAAATGTAAAATTGATTTTTAGTATAATATAAAAAATAAAAAATAAAAAATAAAAAATAGATGTTTGATATGATATTTTTGAGAAAAAAAAAATTGGATAAATAAGTGTAAATCCAATCCAATCCCCCGAACAAACACAGCCTTGAAGTAACCGCAATCATCGTCAATCATCTTCGTCTCCAAATTGAATCTCTAGATTGATTAATATTTCGTTATTTGCTTTTCTTTGTACCTTTTAACACATTATAATAAATTCACTACAAAAATAATTATATAATTGGTAATTTTATTCGATAAAATAGTTATATCCCTAGTCAAATAGGAACATACCATGATTAATATTATTATTAATACCAATTTTCTATTTTAATTTTCTTTTAATAGCTAATTAATATAATAATATTATAATTCAATATTATTTTATATAAAACCTAATAATTTAATACCCCCTCCATCCCATTGGAAAGATGTCATTTGTTTTTTGCACGTAGATTTTTAAATATTAGTATTATATTGGATTGTAGTAAAAAAAAAAAAAAATATCCCTATTAATATGGTGTAATATAAAAATAATGACATTTGTGTAATATAATGTAAGTTGAAATGGTATTTATTATGTTAGGTAGTACAATTACTAAATTAAAAATGGTAACCTTGTTTTGGGACGGACGAAAATATAAAATGATAACCTTTCAATGGGACGGAGGGAGTATAATAATTCATTAATATATATTTTATACTATCTTCGTCCCACATATAATGTCACACTTTTGAAAAATATTATACACTTTAATTATATTTTAATCATAGGAGCACCTAGAACAATTTGGACATGCAAAGGGGCAGAAAGACATGTGTCACATTATATCTTGCCAAAAATATCAAATAATTTTGACAAATTTCAGTAAATTTGATATAGTCCTAGGAGATTTTTTTGTTTTAACTTATTTATTTTGAAATGTTTATTATTTTAACTTTACAATATAAATATTCTTTTAAAAAAATACTCCCTCCATCCCTAATTTATCTATCCATTTGTTTTTTGCACGGAATTTTAGAAATATTAGTATTATATTAGGATAAAGTAGAAATAAAGGTAAAAGAAAGGCTAAATTAACCCTATTACTATTGTATGATATAAAGGTAATGACATTTGTATAATATATTGTAAATTAGAATGGCATTTGTAATGTTAAGTAGATAGTACACTTACTAAAAAAAGAAACGGATACTTTGTTATGAGACGGACCAAAATAGAAAAATAGATAGATTGTTAGGGGACGGAGGGATGGACGTGTTACTTCTAACAAGAAATTTTCATGTTTATCAATTAATTTATTTAAAAAATAATATATAGACAATCATATAATATATTTTATCTACTTATTAAATTCAATATAAAAATATTGTTTTTTTATATTATACTCGAACTCGAGACCTAGCCTAGGCTCTGATACCATGTCGGATGCTAATGACCGTCTCACCGAAAAGCTCAAACTTATTAGGGAAACTAACACATTACTTACATATCCCGCAAACGGGAGTCCCAAACATAGAAACCGTACACAATTTTCGATCTATTTAATTCGACAAGCCATTAAAAAATATTTTTCAAAAGGACAACAATATTCTTTCATATAAAATATGAAAAATAAAATAAAATAAACATTATTTATTGCAAATGAAATGAGATGAAGCGACTTTATCTATTGCCACGAAACTTCCGGGCAAAAGGCAAAAGTGAATGGCAAGTAAATATTCTTTCTTTAACGCTCCGCCCCGTGTGCGGACCGCGTTAACGACCAAGGATAGAACAGACAACCTTAAAGGGAGTCCATCTTTCTATAATACTATATTTATTCAAATTATTATTATATTAAAACTTTGAGTGCAATTTTTTGAATAAGTTTGAAAAAATATTAGTTTATTAAAATAATATTTGACATGATGTTTTTGTAAAAAAAATATATATACTCCCTCCATCTCTTGACAATATATACATTTTTTTATTTTCATATAACAAAGTATTTATTTTATTTTTTAGTAACTATACCGTCTACCTAACATTACAAATATCCTTCTAATTTACAATATATTACACATGTTATTACTTTTATATCATACCATACTAGTAAGGGCAATTTAGCCTTTTTACTTTTATTTCTACTACTACGTTATAATATAATACTAATATTTCCAAAACTCCGTGCAAAAAGTAAATGGATATATAGATATGGGATGGAGGGAGTATTTCGGAAGCAAAATTTGAATAGTAAAATTTTTAAAAACTAACGAGAAAAAATCTACACCACATCTAATACATATTCAACATCAAACACATTTTTCAATACTTCAAAAATTTTCAAACTTCCAAAACCAGTCCCCGCATGTATTTATGGAAATTTTATCAAATTTCTACTATTTATCAATATTTTTCTCTAAAAAATATCAAATCAAACACCTATTTTTTAATTTTTTTTATATTTAAAATATCACATCAATACGTGTTTATATCACATAATACAATTATTTTAATTTAAATTTTTTACTATCAAATCCCAAACCAAAGTCAATACCTCCAAACAAACAAACCCATTGTTTCATTAGCATGAAACACTTTTTATAGGAACGTTTCTTTTGCCAAATTTCTCCAAAACTTTAATTTTTGAAAATATTATATATATATATATATATTCTCTTACAAAACATCTTATCAAACAAAAAACACACTAACCCCACCCCACCCCAAGTTGACCCATCCAAAGTCGTCCAAATAGCTACTTCCATTGTGTATCTAACTGTCACGTATGTATGAATTATTACTACTCTGAACTGAGGGATAGAATAGAACGAACATACCGCGTCTGATCTAAATCTATAAAAGGCAGATGCTTTCATATGCACTTTCTTATGCAAATACTTGGAAACTTACCTACTACTATCCTATCCTATCCCATGTGCTTTTTTCTCTCCTTTATAAATTACTGATACCAATACCAATGAGCAAGATTGAGATACCAGACATATAATAGATAAACAAGACAGGGAAATGGTGAACTTACTCAGTGACAAATGGGAGCTGAAGTCGAAGCACTCGACTACGGAGGCGCTGCAGCGCTGGCGCGATCTCTGCGTCTTCGTGAAAAACCCCAAGCGACGGTTCAGATTCACCGCCAATCTATCCATGCGGCATCAGGCCGCAGCTATGCAAAACACCATTCAGGTTACATAAATTTATATACATATATATATATATTGCCTCTAAAAGTTTCCTCAGACCGATTCGAACACAATTTAATTTTGAATCATAGAAACAGTATTAAATTTTGAATTGAAATAGTTGTGATGTTTGATTTTGAATAGTAAAATTTTGAATTGAAATAGTTGTTTGATGTGATATAAATATATATTGATGTTGATGTGATATTTTGAATGTAAAATTAAATTTTAGTTTAATAAAATAAATAAAAAATTGAGTATTTGATTTGATATTTTTGGAAAAAAAAATTAAAATAGTAAAATTAAGAATAAAATCTTACAAATAAACACACTGATGGTTAAACATTAGATATGATTTCAACATCTTTTAATAAATAAGAATGGATATAGTAAACATAAAATTAAATAAGGCCTGCATCAAGTAAATTACATCGAGGTCCGTTGCTGACCTTTTTTTTTTTTTTTTTTAAAGACCGAGGCAAAATTGAAATAGTAAGCCATTAAATATTTTTTTTATATTAATATAATAATAAAAATGATTTTATACATTTTTCTAATGTAAATGTAGAAGTAAAATTAATTTTTATATATATAAAAAGATCAAAATATAAAAATAAAATTAATGTGACATTTTTTTAAGTATAAAATTAATTTTTAGTATAATATAAAAAATTAAGTATATATTTGATTTAATGTTTTTAATCTTTTTTTTTTTTTTATAAATAGTCAAAATTTTTAAAAGAAAAATTTCAAACAAAAGTGTTTATTTAACATTTATATAATACACAATTTTTTAAAAATATTACCAAAAAATATAATAAAATATACAAATTTAAATATATAAACATAAAAATATAAATATAAAAAACATACATAATTTTACATAATTCACAACAAAATATATAAAATCATACAATTAAATAAACAAACTAAAACATACAAATAAATAATATAAAAATAATATAAAAATAATTTATTTAAAAAATAAATATAAAATATTTTTTTATTTAAAAATTAATTTTATGTATTCTATATAAAAAGAAAATTAAAATAATAATATTATATATTTAATGGGCCCTGCCGCATTATGTTTCTATTGTAATCTCAGGAAAACATGAGAATAGCAGTTCTTGTGTCGAAAGCAGCATTTTACTTCGTAAATCCCTCACAACCAAATGAGTACAACATACCTAAAGAAGTCGAAGCTGCCGGTTTCCGGATTTGTGCAGACGAAGTAGGATCCATAGTGGAGAAACATGACATCAAGAAGCTCAAATATCATGGAGGGGTAACCGGCCTAGCCGGAAAGCTTGCCACAGACGTCGTCAATGGCATTTCCACTGATGGCGAAGCACTGACCTGCAGGCAGGAGATATTTGGGATTAATAAATTTGAAGAAAGAGAGGCTAAGGGCTATTGGGTGTTCGTATGGGAAGCGCTTCACGATATGACTCTAATGATCCTCATTGTGTGCGCTTTAGTCTCTCTGGTTGTCGGCATAGCAACAGAAGGATGGCCGGAGGGCGCTCATGATGGTCTCGGGATCGTCGCGAGCATATTGCTCGTGGTGATTGTCACTGCCACAAGTGATTATAGACAGTCATTACAGTTCATGGATTTGGATAAAGAAAAGAAGAAAATCTCTATTCAAGTGGTGAGGGATGGTTACCGGCAGAAGATGTCCATCTACGAGCTGCTACCGGGAGACATCGTGCATCTTGCTATCGGAGATCAAGTACCTGCCGATGGACTTTTCCTGTCGGGATTTTCAGTTCTGATTGACGAATCGAGTCTGACAGGAGAAAGTGAGCCGATCCTGGTGAATGCAGAATATCCTTTTCTGATGTCGGGAACCAAGGTCCAAGATGGTTCTTGCAAGATGATGGTTACCACTGTCGGGATGAGAACACAGTGGGGGAAACTGTTGGCCACGCTCAGCGAAGGAGGAGAAGACGAAACTCCACTTCAAGTTAAATTAAATGGTGTGGCGACCTTTATTGGAAAGATCGGCATTGTCTTTGCTCTTGTGACATTTGCTGTTTTAGTGCAGCGGATCTTCGCGAGCAAATGGCAAGCAGGGATGATGCTGAGCTGGTCGGGAGATGATGCGTTGGAACTGTTGGAGTATTTCGCCATTGCTGTCACCATTGTTGTTGTGGCAGTACCTGAAGGGCTCCCTCTAGCTGTGACCTTGAGCCTTGCATTCGCCATGAAGAAAATGATGAATGACAAAGCACTCGTGCGCCACTTGGCGGCGTGTGAGACTATGGGATCAGCGACGAGCATCTGCAGCGACAAAACTGGGACACTAACAACAAATCATATGACAGTGGTGAAATCATGTGTTTGCATGAAAGTGAAGGAGCTGACCGAACCTGAGAGTGGTTCTACTCTGCACTCCGAGCTTCCGAAATCTGTTGTTGAGATACTGATGCAATCTATCTTCAACAACACTGCAGGAGAAGTGGTGGTTAACAAGGATGGGAAGCGCGAAATTCTGGGAACGCCGACTGAGGCAGCTATTTTGGAGTTTGGTATGTCGTTGGGAGGGAACTTCCATGTCGAACGGCGAAAATCTAAACTGGTGAAAGTGGAGCCGTTTAACTCGACAAAGAAGCGAATGGGAGTCGTGTTGGAGCTTCATGGAGGAGGTTTGAGGGCTCACACCAAAGGTGCCTCGGAGATAATTCTTGCTGCCTGTAACAAGTTCATCAATTCAAATGGTGAAATTGTTCCCCTTGATGAAAATTCTTTCAACCATTTGAAGGGAACTATCGAGCAGTTTGCCTGTGAGGCTCTTAGAACTCTTTGCCTTGCTTATATGGACCTTGAAAACGGCTTCTGTGGAGACGACATTCCAGCCTCAGGATACACTTGTATAGGAATTGTGGGAATCAAAGATCCTGTACGTCCTGGAGTGAGGGAATCAGTTGCACTTTGCCGATCAGCTGGAATTACTATCAGAATGGTTACTGGAGACAACATTCACACTGCAAAAGCTATCGCTAGAGAATGTGGTATACTCACTGATGATGGTGTAGCCATAGAAGGTCCAGACTTTCGTGAGAAGAGCTTGGAGGAATTGCACGAGTTGATTCCGAAGATCCAGGTGCCTAACAGAACATATGTTTTAGAGAAATCACTCTACATGCCTTAATGATATTATCATTATTTACCATGCCTTGTAATGTTTTCCCGCACTCAGGTGATGGCGCGTTCTTCCCCATTGGATAAGCATACGTTGGTGAAGCACCTGCGAACCACGTTCAATGAAGTTGTTGCTGTGACTGGTGATGGGACCAATGATGCTCCAGCACTTCATGAAGCAGATATTGGACTTGCTATGGGAATCGCCGGCACTGAGGTAGAATTCTCACCATTTTCATTTCTTAGAGACCTGTACTAGTACTGAATACAATATAAATATCCATGATTATGCCATTTCTCAAATGTAAAGCATATAAAAGAGGTTTGAGGTAGATAAAATACAACGAAGAGTAGGGAAGTCGATCCATACCTCTTTTTTAAAATGGAACTTCTATTTGTAATGGAAATCAGGTAGCCAAAGAGAGCGCTGATGTTATTATTCTCGATGACAACTTCTCCACAATTGCGACTGTAGCAAAATGGGGGCGCTCAGTCTACGTAAACATCCAAAAGTTTGTGCAGTTCCAGCTTACTGTTAACATTGTTGCATTGGTGGTGAACTTCTCCTCAGCTTGTTTAACTGGTACGAGGCCTTCTTGCACTCAGAATTTTTATCATACTCTTCCTCTTTTACCATTTAATTTATTCTCCTCCAAATAATTTGTGTAAATCCGATCATTGTACTTTCAGGCAGTGCTCCCCTAACTGCTGTTCAGCTTCTGTGGGTCAACATGATTATGGATACGCTTGGTGCACTTGCATTAGCAACTGAGCCTCCAAACGAGGAACTAATGAAGAAACCACCTGTTGGAAGGAAAGGAAACTTCATCAGTTCTGTGATGTGGAGGAACATCTTGGGACAATCCTTTTACCAATTTCTTGTGTTAGGGTCACTACAAGCTTATGGAAAAACATATTTCGGACTTTATGGCATCCCTGACAGTGACTTGGTCCTTAACACAATAATCTTCAATACATTTGTCTTCTGCCAGGTGATTTTCTTGGCGTACCATGTTTACTTAATTGTCTCTTGATCTTGACAAATGAGCATTTAGCTAAAGAATGCTCAACAAATCAGATTATGAAAAAACTATTGTCCATACAACATGATTAAATCCAAATGCAACAGATAATCAAAACAGAGAAGATCATCAGAGTAATGTACCTTGTTAGCTTTTCTGGAATTCATATAAATACTTTCTCTTCATCCTTGCAGCTCTTCAATGAAGTGAATTCCCGGGAAATGCAGAAAATAAACGTGCTCAAAGGAATCTTAAACAGCTATGTATTTGTGTCGGTTCTTGGTTCCACAGTCCTCTTCCAGATAATAATTGTCGAATTCCTTGGGACATTTGCAAACACGACACCTCTAACACTGACGCAGTGGCTCGCCAGCATATTTATTGGATTCTTAAGCATGCCGATTGCTGCAGCCTTGAAGAGATATTTCCCCTTGTCCAATTGATGATGCTTTTGTGAAACATCCTTAGCTCGAAGCAGCCCTGATATTTTGGAAGCTTTGGTCTATATAATTCCGACAGAAGCAGAGCTCTGAGCTAAAATCAAAACCAAAAATCAAGTCATCTTTAGTCACAACAAGGGTCCATCAGGCAAAATGTCTTCACTGCATCATTCCTGTAGATAGCTTCGATTCCATGGAGATTTTATTTGATGTATAGATAGACAGCTATTCACCTGTGTTCTTTTTGCATAGTAAATATACTATTGTGCATCCTTTAACAACTATCCCTGTCCACAGTTTTTCAGAAGCTCAATGCACTTCTTACTTAAGTGTTGATGTTATACTTTGTGGAAGCAGGTTGATACATGAAATACATATAGATGATACGAAATGGCAAACCATGAATGACGAGCATATATTGATTTACGAAAGTTGAAATCATCAGCAGAGTTAATTTCCAAGAGAAGCCTTTCAGGTTTCGCAAAGCAATTTGTCATCAGAATCCTCTCCGGTGATAGCTCATGTTGCCAAATTAAACGCATCTTGACGTGATCGCAGCTAGAATCGAGGAGCATCATAGTTTATGCTCACGTTTCCAGCGATTAATACACCGTAAATTAAAATACAGTCACACCGAGATGTGCACAAAACCGAAAAATAAATATATTTATAAAGTGCGGACTTCTTATATGCAGAAATCGGTAACTGATGAAGTCAATTAATAATTAGGTTGTAATCTCACATTTAGACAACAATCTTACTTTTCATATCTCATCGGGAGAGTAACGGCATAAACAAGCAGTTTTTCAGGAGGGATTGCGGCATAAGTTTGAACAACACAAAACACTCTGTCAATTTATAGATCCGAATCGGACAGCACTAGTGGACCAGATTAGATTTATTTGTTTTATTTTATCTTAATTATTTCAACACATCTGATCCTGAACTGCTTAGGGTTAAATTCCAACAATGGTGATACGTTGACATGCTGTTAATTGATGTGATTCCCAAAAGTGAATGAATTTATGCATTAAGAATTTAACAGTGTGAATTGTTCAACTTATATTTCCTCCTGCCAGCAAAAAAATCGTATATATTTATTTTTTATTCAGAATTTAAGAAGTAATACTTTTTGTGTAAAAATAGTGATGAGATGGTAAAATAGAAGTATTTTTAAATAAATAAATAAAGTATTTCTTAAATGATTATTTTGTGATTGAATAACTCAAAATAAAAATGTGAACGAAAATAATGCTTCTTCTGTCCACAAACTAATGTCCTATTTTTCTATCTGGGACGTCCAACAACTATGGTCTATTTCATTTTTTAAACACAAATTTTACATTTTTACTCTTAATTTATTTATTACTTTTAATTTCTACTGTACGACATATTTGTCGATTCATAATAAAAAGACAATCACGCAAATATACTTTAGAACAATAGAAATTAGATGGAGGGAATACTTTTTTTTTGGTACGCTATAAGTATGTCATTATTTTTTATTAATTTTCGTTAAATTAATTTATAATCTATTTATATATACAATTTTATTGTTTCCGCTTTAACAAATAATAATTAATTTATTATTATTTTATTTATTAATTGTTGTTATATTTACTTAAACAAAATGAATAAATAATTAACTCGGATATAGAATATAAGCGAAAAATGAAAATGCACACAAATAAATAAATAAATAAATAAATGTTGATATATGTGACTACTGGTCCATCATTATCTATTCATACTACAACCTAACTATATTGTTTTGTTTGCATAATATATACCCCGTCACACATAATTTATCCCTATTTTTTATTTTTTATTTTCGTCCGTCCCACATAATTTATCTTTTTTTTTTTTGGAAAATTAATTATACACTTTAATCATATTTTAAAATTTAAAATTTAATTTTTTTTAATCTTAATTAAACTGTTTAGTTATCTTAATCTTAATTTATAAATATTTTTACTAATTCATTTCTTAATTGCTTACTAATTATACTTTACCTAAATTCTCGTGTCTACAGTAATAGACTCATATTACATGGGACGGAGGGAGTATTTTTTTTTCATTTCGTCATTATTTTCAATATATATTACGGACATAATTTTTTATATCATATATGTGGTGTGCATCTTCCATTTAATACACATGAACAACTAGTCTATATTAGATTTCTTTCAATTCTTCATTAGATTTGGCGGGAGGAGGTATCATCGCAATTTTACATTATCATATCCATAATTTATTATTTTTATTTTCCTCAAAACCATTAAATAAAGATTTAAAATAATAAAATAATTATTTACATCGCATCAAAATTTTATTATTTCCAAACCTTTCATACAACCTAGGATCAATGTCTCCATTCAATAAAAATATATCTGATTTAATAATTATTTTATTCAAAAATAAAAAAAATAAAATAAAATCAAACATTCCTAAACCACTAGAAGTTGAGGGGGAAGAAGTGTTTAAATTCCTTATCAAACAAACCCCTAAATTAAAAACACATCTCATCAAATAACAATTTTACATAAAAAAAAAAAAAAAAGTAAAAAAAAATAAAAAAATAAAAAAAAATCCAAATCATGATGACAAACACCTGAAACTAAAGAAATATGATTTAAATAAAAATTAGCAGAATTAGTGTGGTGGGTGATTTATAATCGCAATATTACATGTTCAAAAACACCCAAGTCCAATGTGACTTACTAGCTATAATACTCTCTACTCTCTCCGTCTCACACCCATATAAGGTGTCTATTTGTCTTTTCATTTTTTCTAAATAAAATTATACATTTTAATCGTAATTTATAATTTTGTTAATTTTAATTAAACTAGTTAGTTATTTAATTTTGATTTATAATTAATTTTATTGTACAATAATTATTTTTACGAATATATTTTTTAATTATTTACTAATTATATTTTACCTCAATTCTAATATTTCCCGTGATCTAGACACTTTTTTTGAGATGGAGGAAGTACAAGTAGAACTGTTAACGATCCGAGTCGAGCCGAGCCAAATTTTAAATGTTCGTTAACGTTCATGAACAAGGCTCGGACTAGTTCGTTAAGCTTTCGAGCTCGTTCGTAGTGTTCGAGCTCGGCTCGATAAGAATTTTTGTTGTTTGAGCTCGTGTTCGTGTTCGGCTCGTTTAGGCTTCGATTAAGCTCGTTCGAGTTCGTTCGAGCTCGTTTGTTTTATTTTTTAAAATTTATATATAAATTATAAAAAAAATTTAAAATTATCTTATTTATATATTTTAAATTAATATTTTATTTATTTATAAATTATAATTTTATATGTCTATATAATATTTATAATAAATATATTATTTAAACGAACGTTCGCGAACAAAGTTCGGGCTCGTTCGTTAACCAAACGAGCCTGTTCATGTTGTTCGACTCGGCTCGTTAACATTCGCGAACGAGCTTTAACCGAGTCGAACCGAGCCGATTAACGGCTCTAAGTACAAGCTTAGCATTATTAAAAATAATAAAACAAATAAACACTCTCCAGAAATTCTCAATAGCACATTTGCATTGTTGTGTTGTGAGTAATCTACTAAGCCCACTTTCTTTTATATATATAAAGCACAAATCCGCAGTCAAGATCCGCAATGACGAGTGCGCTTTGGATAAATTTCCTAACAAACCTAATAATATATAAATTAGGTCTGATAAGACAAATTACATTAAGTGAACCATGCTTAACGGACAAATTCTGAAGGCGTCAAAGATTTAAAATTCACGACTAGTCAGAAGTCCATAGTCGTGAAACTCATGAGCTTATAGTAAAAAATCCATCCCGCACACTAGTATGCTATTCCTTACTAAGCTAACTTTCTTAATTAATTGTGTGAACTTTTCTTATTAAAAAGGGGGGGAATGACAGCAGATGAATCATGAAAAAGCAAACACCTGCAGGGAAGTGAGTGACATTCTTATTTAGGATACCCCACGCCCATATACATATATATATATATATATAGAGTGAGAGAGAGATATGTATAGAGTGAGAGTGTACAGAAAATGCAATAAGTGCAGGACCACAAAGTATCACAAGAAGACCTAGAAACGAGATGCAGACTGCAGAATGAGACCATCTTTATTTAATGCAGATCAGATGAAAAATATTTATATATATATATGAAACAAATGAATTCCCATACACAATACAATACAGACTGGCCAAGCTTTTCACTCAACCATGTGAACAATCAAAGGATGGATAGATAGATAGATAGATAGGACCCCTGCAATACTGTTGTAATTTCCCACACACACACAATCATGCATCTCTAATCTAATATGTTATCTCTCTATCACAAAAATTCATTCCAAATTCCAATTCTCATGGAGGATGTGTGTTTTCTTGTTTGTACCTATGCTCTCTCTCTCTCTCTCACAACTTGTGATCGCACAGGTGATGTAAGAATGTAATGGAGCCACCACACTCATATATAAACAAATCAAATTTAATGAAAGAAAGAAAGAAATCAAAATATGTGGTACCCTCATCCTTGGCTCTTCCATGAATGATTATGAACAACCTTAGGAGCTCCTCGGACCCCATTTCTGGGGTGGGGTGTGGATGCATAGAGTGGTGCCGGGGCTCGGGGAGCTTCCGAGAGTCGGCCTTAAGACAACAAGACCATAGCAATAATCGTAAGTAAATATTATTAAGTCTTTAACATTGATGTAAACATTCAACTTAAAATGGCTTTCTAAAATGGCCCAAATGTAACACAGTTATATCACTATCACATATTATCATACATACATAAGTGCAGTTCTCATTTCCCATTTCCCATCCATTGCCTTTTTGAAATACATAGAAAGAAAGCATCTCCTTCAAGTGTGCAAGAATTTTGCACCAAATCAAAAAATAAAAAACATGATATTTATATAAAGGGAAATCATGAAAAATAATACCAACAATTTTCAATAAAGTGAGAAAGCACTAGTAGCATATCCATAAATACCTACACTAGTTAAAAAATGACACTCCTGCAGGCTTTTAATGGAGCCTTTGGACATTTCCTTGGCTCTCACTCCCTTACCAACTGGCTTTTGTACTTTAGTCATCTTCTTACTCATCACTTGTAGCCTAAAGGTATTCTTTTCTTTATTTATGCAAATCCCACTTTTTTTCACTATTAATTTGGTTTGGTTTGTCACTGCCTAAGACCCTTTCTCAATGTTGCTGTTAATTAATCCCCCCCCCCCCAAAAAAAAAAAAAAAAAAAAATTTATAGTATATAGGTTTTTAAGCAACACATATAAAATGTGAACTTTCACTACAAAACTCTTAAAGAAATCAATCAATGGTGGCATCAAAGTAAAAATGATTTATCCAAACAATCTTCAAAAAAGCTCACTCACATTATTATGACTTGTTAATTCTCTTCACCAGACAACGCCGGCCTCCATCGTCAAAGTTGAGCCTTCTTTTGGCGCTATCTCGAGATGTGATCTTCGAATCATCAATTGAAAGGGATGACGACGAAGTTTGATAAATAATAGGTTCAAAGGTCCTCAATGTCATAATTTCTTGAAAGATAGTGTAGCAAGAGATTGTTTGTTCCTGTTAAGATGAATTCAAGATAGCGATTATCAATGACAGATAAGGCGGACGAGTATTATTAAAATTGTCGAATTTACTACTCTATCTATGGAGAAATCGCCAACTATATAAAGCAAGGGAGCTCACTTTTTCCCGGGACCCCCATGATGGGATTGCCTCCATCTTATTCTCCAATGTAATTTTGTTTAATCGACAATCATAAGATGCTAAAACTGCTGCTGCTGCAATAATTGACGGCCGGTGTTCGCCAACATTATGCTCTGCATCAAACAATCTGTTAATTTTGAAATACAGCTTCTTTGATTCGAATCTAACTACAAAAGAACTATTTCTAAATCTACATTACCTTCCATTACTGCCAACACTAAGTCTGAAGCTAAATTCGCATGCTCATTGCTAATAGATTTGCCGCACAGCTTGAAGATGAAATACTTCAGGTACGTATAAGGCGTAACGTAGCTCATTTTCCAGTCGAGAGCATTAAGAACAAGTAATTCCATCCTCTGGACTGTATTACCTCTAAATTGATACTCATCAACATGATATTCAGTTAATGACCTTACTTCACATTCCTCCATTTTTGCAGCTAGTGATAAACAAGCAATCGATAACAATTGAATCTTCCATGATTTCCAATCCTATCAACATCAACAACATTTCCAAATCACACATGAGCATAAACGACACAAAATTCCATTCTAAATCAGAGATTTCATAACAACAAACAATTTTTGCGCCAACCTAAAGAACACCAAATTATTCGATTCGTACTTACACTAAACCTCCTTTTGGTTAAAAACCTGTCGAAATAAATCGCCGAAAGATACGCAGTTCGACGCTGGTATCCGAAAACCGCTCTCGTCTGCAAACACAAAACGTAACAACATCAAAAACCACAATCGCATCGGAAAACCTACCGATTAACTAATTAACACAACATACTTCCAGAATCCATTTAATAGCGTCGGAACGGGCGCGTTTCAACCAATTTCCTTCACCACTGGCCGCAATTTCACCCCCGGCGGGACGAAAATCGGCCTCTCTTTCCAATAACATTTCGATGAACTCGCAATCGGATTCCGAAACAGAACAGAACTCCAAGCATTCATTCTGCTCGCAACGCGAGACGTTCAGCGATGATTCATCCTCTTTACACAGCAGATTCGGCAGCGAACCTTCGGTTTCCATGTTCGACGCCTCTCTTCCGCACCGAAAAAACACTCTCCGCAGAGCAAAATACAAATTGGCAATGCGAAATCGCGGCGAGTACAGATTCAGTAAACGGATTTTCTTGCACGAAGAAAGAGATTCTGAGGAAATTTTGACTATGGAAAGAAGCAAAAAAAAAACTCACAGTGCCGAAGAAACCGAGCAGCGATTTCACTGCCGCCAAATTTAGCGGATGAGATATAAAAGGTCCCACTATTTTTCGGGTCCTTTTATCCGAGCTCCAGGGACTTCAGCACCCGACTAATTCAATCTTCACTATATGTATCGATCTGGCGTTCGGAATCCATGGTGCTCATAAGCATTTAATATATTTTATCCGGTTTTCTGCTAAATAAATATTAATATTTTTGTAAAATATCAGTCAACTAAATTTAAATATTACGTAGGGATTCATGTATTAAATTACGCAATTCTCAATCAATTTTGTGAAATTATATTTTATAAGAATCTTGGAAAAATAAATATTATGAAATTTAGTTTTCTAAATTAGAAAATATGAAATTGATTTCCTACCTTTTTAAGATATGATTTTGAATACATTATACAAATATATGAATGAATTAATACTACAGCCGTCAGGCTCTTATGTCTCATTTATTTCTTGTGTATTAATCTTTCAATAATAATTATTATATCAAAATATAGAACAAGAAAAAATTGCAAATATATTTATTGATATATTATAATACTAATAAAATTATATTTGTAAAAAAAAATTATATATATATAAAAATATTTTTAATGTTAAATATAACGATACAAAATATAAATAAGACTTTAAAGACATTGGATGAAGTATTTTTTAAAAATTATATATGAATTATATGTTTTATTTAATTAGACATGATTTAAAAGTAATTATTAAATTCTCAATTTCCAATATCATGTGGTGAGTACAACATTAAATATATTTTTTTGAACCCATTTACTATGAGTTTATTGAAATATAAACATTTTAATTTAATTCAAACGCGTAAATATGACAGTCCAAAAAGTTTAAATATATTTTCTATTTATATCTTCCACCTACCACATTAAATTATACTTTATCCGTCTTAATATAATCCAATAGTCTGGTTTATCAATCTTTTTCATCTCAAGACAATAGTTTTGTTTACATAAATAATCATATCATCATAAAACTACATCTACTTTTTTATTTTTATTACACAATTGTCACTAATTTTTACACTAATACACTCACGAGTGCAAAAAAAAATTTTTGTATATTTTTTATCCACTATCAATATAACATCAATATTTTTTAAATTTCGTATCCAATCCAATTAAAACTATATTTATGGTACGGTAGAGTATATTATAGTATCTATGAAATAATTCTCATAAATATAATTGTTATATTTAAAAAAGGAATATATTTTGCATTGACGGTCAAGATTCTTTGCATAATCATGACTTGAATCCCCTGTATTTTACTTTCGATTTTTAATTATAATTGTTCGCTTCTTAATATAATAGTGTTATTTTTTTACATATATTATTATATTTATTTGTTGTAAAAAAAATAAAAATCTGTAATATAAAAATAATAATATTTATCTTAATATATTTGTTTTGTTCTCTCAATACTATTATTTTAATTGCAATTTCTAAAAATAATAATAAACAGTATAAAATATTTTTTTATAAAAGTAAAAAAAAAAATAAAAACCTTCAAGTATTTGTTACAAAAAAGTCAAAAAAGGTACATATTCAACTTAAAAATAATACTCGCTCCGTCTCATATACCGGTGTCTGCTACACCGTAGACACGGTATTTTAGGAGGGGGTGTAATTAGTAGATAATTAAGAATATATTTGTAAAAATAATTATTTTATAATATAAATAATTATAAATTAAGATTAAAATAACTAATTAGTTTAATTAAAATTAAAAAAATAAAATTTGGAAATTTAAAATGAGATTAAAGTGTGTAATCATTTTTCAAAAAAAGAAAGTGACATGGTACGTGGAACGGACAGAAACGGCAACGTGGACATGGTATCTGGGACGGAGGAAGTAGTATATTTTATATATTATATTTATGATAGTTGTCTTATTTAAAAGATTCGTAGGATTTTTATCTTATTTAGACGATTTGTATATCACTATAAATATGTACGTAGTTTTATTATTAAAATAGAAAATCTCAATTACTTATTCTAACATAGTATCATAGTCAAATTCTCTCAGGTACATGTATGACCCGTTATATCCCGTATGTATTATTATATTTATTGATGTATCTGATTCTATCCACAGTGATGTTATTTCATGCCGTCTCAGTCTATACTACTTTCATCTTCACTTACAGAGTTTTGTTTTCGAATCTAACATCGTCAAGAGTCCTGTTTTCGACTCTAACTCTATTGAGAGCGAGTAAATTCTGTTTTCGACTTTAACTCTGTTGTGAGCGAGCGAGTCATGTTTTTTACTCTAGCTCTATTAAGAGTGAGTGAGTGAGTGAGTGAGTGAATGAGTCTTGTTTTCAACAAATTGACTAACGAAAATAAGATTTAATGCTAAATTAAGAATATAGCATGTGTCATAAGATATAGGGAAATGAAAAATACGAAACCGGCGTGAATAATATGCAAAAAAGTATAATTGACAATATGTATAGGTGGTAATATAAAAACAAAAGACATAGAAGACAAATAATCAAAATTGATATACCAATGAGAAATACTTGGGATATTGGACATAACAAAATTGAATGAATAAGTTATTTGAGGATGACTTCTAAGTCCCCGAATGGAGTAAGAAGAGTGTTGAGACTCATCAATAGTAGTAATTATGACGGAAGAAATAGCAATCGAGGAAGACCCAAGAATCTCATGATATCTGAAAGTAAAACTACTTGAAAATCTGAAGCAGGACTTAACTGAATACTCAGATCTAGTAGGACAATCCAAAAAAATATGGCCTCGTAAGTGGCCGATGTGAGACTGAATCTTAAGACATGTGACAAAAGTATGGTTAGGGTTCCAAAAATTTCAATATTTTCAAAAGTAGATGATCAAGACGGATGAGACGGAACAAAGCAATAGTAGGATAAGACAGTATTAATGCATAGTAAGAACTCAAGGTTTTATGTAACTAAAATCGAATCTCCTCAAATATTAGGCTAGGGATGATAATATCGTAGAGGTGCATGAATAGCCTCATACTCAACGTGATGAGTTATCAAGATTTGAATATTTCAAGTTGTTCTTGGTTGATCTTTGCCTGTCGAAGGCGATATCAAATAAGCTAAACTTGTGCAAGAAACTTATTTACTAACTGACTAAGTTATTTTCGGATATGACTCAAAATCCTCCAAAACTAATGTTCTCTTTATCCGCCAAAATTAGTTATATACTTTCTTTATAAGTAGGAGTAGTAGTGAATAAGGCCTATCGTATAAAAACAAACTGCATAGAAATATTGCATAACCAATTAAGAATTTAGTGTTTCTTATTGTCTCAATATTCTAATTTAGTAACATAATCCTCGATCTCCTGAGAAATATGATTTACGTACATAAAACAAGGTAAAGTGACAGGTGGCATAACATCATATCACAATATGCAATAATCTTTTACCAATTAAAAAAAATTTCATAAATTGCATCCAAATATTTTTATTATACAAATAATAATAATAATAATAATAATAATAATAGAAGAGTGCACATCCATACAATCTATTAAACAAACAATCGAAATTAATAAGTACGATCTTATATATATGCCTTGATAATCTTCTAAATATAAAATAAATTTTTAATATTATATGAAAAATTAAAATGAATGGTTTAATTTAATATTATTAAAAAAATAATACCACTTATTCATAACATATTAAATACATATTTTTCATTCAATTTTTTACTTTTTTTTTTTTAAATGCATTTATATATATTTTAGAAGTATTATAAAATTTCATTTAAGTTTCCCAAAAATAAATTAATAGACAATAAATTTACGTTGAGAAAAGAATAATTTTTTTATAATATTTTAAATAAAAATATATATTATACTATCTTCGTCCAACTTTAAGGGTCTCATTCACTTTTCGCGTGTTGATATTTGAATATTAATTGTAATATGTAGTACAAATTAAAAAATTGTAAAAATACTTTCATTAGTATCTTATAATACTAATAGAAAGATCATTTGTTAAAAAAAATTATGCAAATATAATGATATTTTTAATGTTAAGTACAATGACACAAAAAAAAGTAAACGAGACCCTTGGAGCTGGACCGAGGAAGTATTATTTTATTTTAATTAAAACTATTGATAAATAATTAGAATTGGTTCACTTAATATTTTTGAATAAATTTATTTAGAGGCAAAATTTGGAGAAATCGAAATTTTTGAACTCATAATCTCATGATCACGAGTTAATCTCGCATTACCAAATCACCATTTATGGTTTAGAGAAATAAATTTTAATATATAATAATAAAAAGTATAATTTTGAGATAGAAATAAACATAATCTAATATTTTAATTCAGAAATTTATAATTATTTTGTAAAAATAATTACAAATCCAGATGGAAACAAATCCTTAAAATCTACACGTGAATATGATGGGCGGGCCATGACGAGGTGGCAATATCATGCTTTAAACGCTCCATTCCAATAATAATTTCACACATTAATTACCGCATTTTTTAATTACCATTTTAAAATATTTCAAGAAAATGGGCCACTTGGGTCTCACTTTATACCAAAAAATAAAAAATAAATAAAAAATAAAAAATTAAAGGATTAAAAGAGTACGTTGACTTTGACTTTTATAATTGTTTAATAAATATATATTTTTTATATTAGGTATTGAAAATTATATTGATAATATAAAAATTAATATTGTGTGTTGAATTATTAATTTTTGTAGATGAATATATATTATATATATTGTGTTAAAATGTATATATATTTTCTCTGTCCCGCAAGAAGAGTATCGTTTATTTTTTTGACATAATATTTTTTAATATTAATACTACCTCCGTCCACCGCCAATCTATCCATTTGCATTTGGCGTCATTATTTTTAACATTAAAAATATTCTTATATTTGTATAATTTTTTGTACAGATGTCATTACATTAGTATTATAAGACACCAATAGAAATATTTTTGTCATTTTTCCTTGATTTGTACTATGTTTTGATATAATAATTAATATCCAAAAATTAACATGCAAAAAGTAAACAGATAGATTGCTGGTGGACGGAGGTAGTATTATATTGGTATGTAGTACAAATCAATGAAAATATACCCCTATTAATATTGTGTAATATAAAAATAATATGATTTGTGTACTAAATTGTAAATTTAATAATATTTATTATATTAAATAAATAGTACAATTACGAAAATGACGTTCTTGTTTTTTGATGAGCATAAATAAAAAAATAGCACACTTTTTTTTTTTGGACGAAGATAGTATTATATATTTTTTTTAATATTTATTAAAAATCGTGATACTTAAAAAAAAAAATTGGATGAATAAACATATTTTAACATATTTTAAAAAAATAAAATTGGCGCTATTAATTAGTAATAGTATTACTTTTTTAAAAAAAAGTTCACATATAATATATATTATATATAAATTACATATTAAAAAGATATATTTTACAATATATCACATTTAATATCTGTCTATGTTAAATAATTTTTTTTTTATAATTGTTCATATTTTTTTATTTCTAAAACATTCCGGATGTGATTGTGATTTGAATGAATAATTATTTTATATAATGTAAATATATATCGGTGTAATTTTCTAAATATAAAATTATTTTTTGTATAATATAAAAATAAATATTTGATTTAATATTTTAAAATATAATTTATAAAATAGTGAAAATCCTAAAAGAAAAACACCTTAACCTTGTTTTCTATGATTTTTAATGTGCTTTTACTGTGCAAACTCCAATATGAAAAACCAACTATACTATTAAGATTTGTTAGAGAAAAAACAATTATAGTTTTCTATTTTGGCATATAAAATGAAATAAGTTGTAGCTGTTATCGGAGTTTGGCATCAAATCAAAATAAAAATTCTACACAAATAGTGAGAAAAAAAAGTGTATTCTTTTTTTATTCGAGTTCTTCCATCTCTTTCCATCTTGGAGAAGACATTGGAGTTTCCATGAAATTGTGAAACTGATCAAAAGAAAGAGGAACAAAATAGCCAATCCGATATAGTGATCAACTCGTAAGCAAATTTACTCTCAACTAAATAATTTGTCTGCTAGAATTATTACCGCGGTATAACGTCTAATTTTATATGTTTGGCTAAATAGGAAAAGTAAGAGGAGAGACTAGTTTCTTGCATAAATTATTTGGTGTCTTGAGTTATTGTAAATCGGGTGATAGAAACGTCTTTATGTCGTAGGAATCTAATTAAACAGTTAACTTTCTTATTCAATTGTTGTACTTTTTTTTTTTTTTTTTTTTTTTATGTAATAGGAACATGCTGCTACAACTTTCGAATATGTATTGGATAAACTTTCGAGCCAAGCATAATATCAAGCAAACCATTTTAAGTGAGTAAGCCACATTTAAAAATAATAATAATAATAATAATAATAATAATGTAGTAACTCGCAAGGCTACTTTTCGAATACTCTAATTGAACTTAATAGCCTGAAAACTACACTATCAAAATAAGTTATACTAATCGAACTATGTGTGACAGACAAAATTTAGAGACGTTAAAAGTTTAAACACATAATTTTACGATTATTAAGTTCACTCCACACCACTAGATTATTTTTATCTAACGAATGTCATACTCCATCCGTCTCATAACAAAGTTTCAATTTTTTTATTTTACTCCGTTCCATAACAAAGTATCTATTATTTTTTTAGTAAATGTACTATCTACTTAACATTACAAATACCCTTACAACTTACAATATATTACACAAATGTCACTACCTTTATATCACACGTACTAATAAGATTATTTTAGTTATTTCTACTTTATTCCTATTACATCCCAATAAATACTAATAATTTTAAAACTACGTGCAAAGTAAATAAATATCAAAGTTATGGGACATAGAAAGTATATCTTTTTTTTTTTTTAATTGAAAAACAAGTCGATGGATTTTTTTTATGACTTGCGAATCGCAACCGCTACTAAAATTAGTTGTGGGGGTCGGTTAGGTTTGTGTAAATGATCATAAGTTATTGATGAGAGATGAAATGAGATGAGTTGTATTTATGTTTTATTTCTTTTTCATTTATGTTATGATTTGCAAGTATGGATAATTAATTGAGTTTACATATTATGGTTACGCTTGCACATAATTTGATAATTATATTATCCTTATTCATGCAAATAAAGTTCGATTTTCTTTCTAATATGCACTAGTTGTACGGAAATAATTGTTGTATTGTGAAGCTCAAGTTAAAGCTTACTGTAAATTCTATTTTTCGAGCACAGTGCCGCTAATAATTTTATTCTATCAAAAGAAAACTTATTATAATTTAATAATTGTGTTATCATTAAAAATTATAGTGTTCCATTCGAAATTTAAAATTGCATCATTATTTCAAATTTTAGATGGATTATTTAAAATTTAAAATTTAAAATTTCACCAATACTCAAATAATAATTATTCAACCCAATTAAGGAAATGAGGGTGTAGTTTAAGGGCCCTTGACCTTTTGATCATAAAATAAAATAAGTATATATACACACATAAGAATTGTAAGGTAAATTTCGGATATTATTTTGAAAAATAATAATAATGATAATAATAATGATAATAATAAGAAAACAGCATTAAAAATTTATTCAAAATCTTGCAATTCCCTCTTCCCTCCCTAACTACGCACTATCATCGTCCTCATCATCATCACCGTCGTCGTCGTCGGAGCTCCGATCATTCCTCAGACTGTACCTACTGAGCACCGGCAGCGGCGCATTCGCCGATATCCTGAACGACCTCCCCGCCCCCACCGCCGCCCTGTCCTGCTCCATCTTCCCCACGTCCTTACACACCCCGTCCAGCACCCCCAGAAAATCCCTCACGATCACAAATATCCTCAGCGGCTGCGCCTCCTGCCGCGCCGCCGCCGCCGCCGCCGTGTCGCCGTGAAAGTAATGCGTCACTTCCTTCACCAACGACGCCGCCTTCCTCTCCTCCGCCTTCACCTTACAAATCTCATCCGCCGCCTCCTCCATAAACTCCCTCATCTCCCCAAAAAACCTCCCGCCGCCGCCGGCGACGGCGACGGCGCCGCCGTCGTGCTCCAGCACGCGCCGCACCTTCTGCAGCCCCGATTCGAGCTTCGACACGTATCCACTCAGCACGTCGGCGTCCATTCCGGCAGCCTTTTTAACGTTTCCGAGCTCGTTGCTCAGCCCCGCCACCACTTGCAGCCCCTGTTTCTTGAAATCGTCTTCGTCGATTCCGATTCCGATTTCGATTCCTTCCGACCGCACAATCTCCCGGACGACAAAATGGAGCAACGTCGTCTTCCCGTCGGTTCCTTTGATCTCCACGAGCTTAAGCAATGTATCCAATTTGAAAGCCTTGGCGTCGCCGCGATACGTTCCGTTGTTCATCCGATTGCCCGTCGTTAGCACCGCTTCGAGGAGTTTGAGGAAAAGTCGACTACTCTTCAATTCTTCGCTCGCCTCCTACGTCGATTTCGCATTTCGAATCGTTAAAAATAATCATTTTACCTAAAAACTTAAGTCAGTAGACAATGTATTTAAGGATTATATTACCTGAAAACGCCGTGGATCCTCTGTCCCAAAAATAAATCCTATCCCCTATCCCCACACACATAATATGTATACACAGTGTGTGTATGTATGTATACACATATGTGTATGAAGATAGAGGGATAGAGTATGTTAATGGGATAGAAAAATGCATCATTGATTACATATTATATAGTCTGCTGACAATGTTTGAAATAATCATTTTACTTAAAAACTTAAGTCAATAGACAATGTGTTTAATGACTATATTACCTGAAAACTTAAGTTAAAAAAAAAAAAAAAACATAATTAGTTACATATTATATAGTATGCTGCCGACGTTAAAAATAATCATTTCACCTAAAATGTTAAGTCGGTGAAGAATGTATTTTTAATGATTATAATATCTGAAAACTTAAGTTAGTAAAAACAAAATGCATCATTAATTACATATTATACAGTCTGCTGACAATGGTTGAGTAATAAGTCGAAGATTCGATGTTGTGGTAACTAAGAAGTACCTCTAATGTTTGAAAAGACTTCCTTAGGTATTTAACTTCCGCGTCGAAATTTGCTCGGTAAAGCATCGCTTCGACTCTTTGGAACGCGAAGGGGATGTCGAGTATGGCCTTGAGGAACCTCTCGGCCGGCCCTAATTTCGAGCCTTCATCGTTGTATTGCTTGAGTTTGTTCTCTTCCTCTTTCGTTGGTGCCATTTTCACTAGTGTCTCGAGCAACTCGGGGCCTAATCCGTCGGGATTTCCTGCAAATCATGTCGTTTATTACATTTGTGCTCGTAATAAGTTGTATTCGATTCCACATTGTTACCGTCTAAAAGCGCTTCGCAGACTTCCTCTCTTGTCACGTTGAGCGCGCGTAATAGTATCGCGATGTTTTGCGATTTCTTTGGATCGAGCACTCTGTTCTCGGCGTTGTAAGAAGGGAGGATGAACTTCCGGGATGGTTTCTTCGGCGCCGAATTCTCGGAATTGCATCCGAATAGAGACTCCATCGCATCCTCGTTCAATCTACGATGAAATTTATTCGAGGTTAGAACATGTTCTGGAGATCGATAGCGATTTCTCGGCCATGGAATCGATTAGTTATTACCGGAACGAGCTCGACTTGAATTGGTCCCATACCGTTCCCGTCTCCGACGGGGTTCGGACTTTGTCCCAATGTAGAGCCCGTAGTTTTGGCCTCGATTCGTCGATGGATTCCTCAACGTTATCGTTAAGTGATATCTTTTTCAACGCTACCGGAATCGGTGTTTTTCCTTTAGGTATCGAGATTTGTGGAGGCGGCGGCGGTGGCGGCGGCGGTGGTAGTGGAGGCAGAGGAAGTGGCGGCAGCGGTGGTGGATTATCATCGTTGCTTATCGATCGGAGCTTCTCCCGATCGAGCGGCGGTGGCGGCGACGAAAATTGGGGCGGTTTCGGAGTGTACATTAGTGTGTTGCCGGACTGCAACGACCTCCGGGACGGTTGCGGCGGCGACGGCGAGGGCAGCCATGGCTGCTTAACCGGTGGCATTACCGTCACCGACTTCGTTACGTCCGGCGACGACAGCAGCGATGACGAGGATGATGAAAAACGAGACCTCGGTGAAGTTCTCTTTGAATGAGGCACGGAATGAATCATCCGATTTTCCGACTTCGGAGGATCGATCTTTTCTCCGGCGGCATTGTCGCTCAAGTAGCTGCGCCGCGGGCTCGGCGACATATTCTGCTTTGGGTTGTACCCCGACGCGTCGTCATGGTTCTCGTCGTCAGACGAGGACATTGGTGGCGGCGGCGGCGGAAGCTTTGGGAACGGCGGCAGCGTCGGGAGGTGATTGACATTCGATTTGTTGTCCGAGGTAGTTGCAGCTGTGTCGTTGGATGGTATTACCGTTTCGACGCAGAGTAAACTCGAGGGCGGCATTCTCGATTCCTCGTTGATTTGCGAACTTCCGGCGATGTGTTTCCGGGAGTCGTCGATATGTTTCTTCCGATTCTTGTACAAGTAGAAGATCAGTATCGATAGCATTGCCAGTGTGAGCCCGGCCGATGCAACGGCGACTAGTACTTCCTTTCGGGATTTCGATTTCGGCGCAGTCGCCGGATTCTTCGCCGCCTCCGCCGCAGCGGCGGCGGTTTCCGGTAGCGGCGGTGGCTGAGGAGGGCTCTGCTCCGGCTGCGGGAACTCATGTGAGAATGGCTGATCTTGGTACGGAATATCGGAAAAATCCGGCGGAGGCGCCGAGTAGATTTCGAAATCCGGCGGCGGCGGCGGAGTCGTCGAAGTTACCGGAAACAATGGCTGATGTAGAACTCTTCGTTTTCTCTCCTCCGCGGCGGCGGATTCCGGCGAGAGGAACACCGCTAATACAACGACGGAGATGACAAGGCCATCGGCGAGGCGGCGGCGGCGCGCCGGAGCTCTCATTTTAATGAGAATGTTGATTCATAGAGGTTTTGGAGGTGGTCCTAAAATGGTGTGTGGTCCGGTCCGGTTCTTACGGGGAAGGAGACAAGCTCAGTTACACTTACAGTTAGAACAATATGGTGCTTTACATTTTTATCAAGTGATTAGATGAGGACAGCATATATGCTTTCATTTCTTACCTTTTCCTAAAGCTGATGGAAATAGGCTCAGCACATTTATTTATTTATTTAAATTTTCTGTTACTGGGTTGTTATTTATTTTATTTTATTTATATTTATATATTGGGTACGATAAGACGATAGTTTTTCACGTTAGGCATCGGAAGATTGCTTGGTGTTGATGGATTGGGACACATTCTTCAAATCTTCTTTAACTTAAGGGCCAAAATCAAATTGTGCCTTTCGTGTTGTTGGTATAAATTGAAAAGTTAAAGGCATGGGACAAGACAACTTAGGAAAGTACATTTTATTTTATTTTTTATTTTTTAATTAATTAAATTTTAACTTTGAATGGTATATAGTATTTCCCCTGCCCTATGAAAAAATACATTAAAATTTTTATAATAAATAAAAAAAATAATAGTATTTCATTAGTTAGTAAAAGTAAGATAATTTTGATATTTTTGTTTTGTACTATATATATATGTTAAAATTAAAATATATTTTGGTATTAAGCATGTTATTATTTTTTAATAGAACAAACAAAAATTATAAAAATAATAATTTTAATTAAAACGAATGAATATTATTTTAAATTAGTATGTACATATATATATATATGTTTATGATGCGAGAACTTTTAATTGTCACGCACTGTATAAATTTATTTAGTAGATTTTTGGTTACAAGTTAGCATTAAAATGTAAAATTAATGAATTGTGTGTAGCTTGTGTAAGTTTATAGGTTATGTTTGTTTGTATGTTTTTACCTTGTTTCTTATTGTTTATTTAAAAAATTATTTAGAAAACCTTAAATTAAATATATATTTTTATTTTTTTATATTTATTAAAAATTATATTATATGCAAAAATATCATATACTACATATTTATATCACATTAAAAAATTATTTTAATTAAAAATTTTACTATTTAATCCCATAAACAAACATAATCATCGTAATTTTATTTAAAATATAAATAAAAAATTCAACACACTCAAAGATGGCAATTTTTCACATTATAAAAATAATTCAATATAATAATTAAATATCTTCTATTAACTAGCTACTTGAGTTTAGATTTAAATTACAAATTTCTTTATAATTTTTTTTTTTAAAAAAAATATATATATATATCAATAAATGGAGCTTAAATAAGTTTTTAATTTATTCCATCCTAATTAACAACGAAAACTGTTTTTAAATCTTGTAACTTATTGATCAACATTTTAGTCATATAACTGACTTAGTTCCACAACTAAAGCTTGTATAAAAATTATTCTCTAAGTTACTTTTTTGTCACAATTGTTCCTTGAGCGCCGAGATGCGCACATAGTACCCACTGACATGCCGGGCACACTTGAACATTGGATAGACGTCATCCGACAGACAAGTGAATTTTTTTTTTTTTTTACTCCTATAACTGACCCTCGTTAGTAGTTTAGCTCCATAAGTGACTTTTGTTTTGCATCTATCTGGCATACGCGTGTCCTTCGATGTGCCAGACGAATGCCACGTGCACATCTCGGGCGGAATGACCAAGTGTGCCAAAATACACTTACAAGGTGATTTATAAATAAATTATTATATCTCTTTTTTTTTTTTTTGATAATATTGCAATTGAAAGAATATTATCATAATTATATATATAAATTCATCATTAATGGTAATAATTTTTATAATTAATTAAATAAATTAAAAAATTATGAATATGTCTCTTAAATATAATTTATTATTATTATTAATTAATAATATTAAAAAAATCTTATTATATTTTCTTTTTTTTTTTTTTTGGATAATATTGCAAATGAATGAACATTATCATAATTATATATTTAAATTCATCATTAATGGTAATAATATTTATAATTACTTAAATGAATTAAAAGTTCATAATGAATTATATTTCATAATTCTAATCTCTTATAAATTTACATACACATTTTTATCATTACTTACTCCATTGCACATTCCACTCAAATTCAAGTATTTTAGTATTTCACGACGTCATCATTCTCTCTTGCACATCCCACTTAAATTCAAGTATTTTAGTATTTTACGACGTCATCATTCTCTCTTGCACATCCTGTAAGAATCAAAGTATTTTAATATTGCACGGCGTAAACGACGAATTACACTAAAACAGGTTATGAATATTTGATTATATTTTTTAATATGTATTTTTTTCTAAATATATTAACGTGTTGTGTAAGATACCTTCACGATTTATACATATATATTTTTTATTACAACAAACTGATTATTACTTTTGAATCGATGTTCTATATCTAATCTAATATTCACTTTTTATATATATATATAGATGGATACCGAAAGAGCTATAAAAAAATTAGCTCGGTTAAGATGAATAAAATCAATTTGTCTTAAACAAAATACGCGACATCCAATTTTAAATTTGGATCAATTACTACAAAATATTGATAGACAATGTGAGGGAATATATCAATTTTGAATATGTCATATAACTAACATATTTCCTTTATTCATCTTAACTGAGCTAATTTTTTCATAGCTCTTTTGGTATCCATCTATGTGTATAATGGATATTAGATTAGATATAGAACATTGATTCAAAAGCAATAATAAATTTGCTAGAAGAAAAAATAATTATATCGTGAAGGTATCTTGCACAACACGTTAATATATTTAGGAAAAATACATATATTAGAAAATAGAAAAAAAAATCATAACCTGTTTTAGTGTAATTCATCGTTTATCACCGTACAATGTTCAAATACTTTGATTCTTACAGGATGGGCAAAGAGAGGATGATGACACCGTGAAATAATAAAATACTTGAATTCTAGTCGGAAAATACTTGAATTCTAGTTTGATGTGCAATGGAGTAAGTATGATAAAAATGTGTACATAAATTTATAAGAGATTAGAATTATAAAATATAATTTATTATGAACTTTAAATTTATTTAATTAATTATAAACATTATTGCCATTGATGAATTTAAATATATAATTATGATAATGTTCATTCATTTTCAATATTATCCAAAAAAAAAAAGGAAATATAATAATATACTTTTAATATTATTAATTAAAAATATAATAATAATAATAATAACAACAACAATAATAATAATAATAATAATAAAAGTTATATTTAAGAAACTTATTGATATGTTTTAATTTATTTAATTAATTATAAAAATTATTACCATTAATGATGAATTTAAATATATATAATTATGATAATGTTCATTCATTTGCAATATTATCTAAAAAAATATTAGGAAATGTAATAATATACTTTTAATATTATTAATTAATTAATTAATTAATTAATAATAATAATAATAATAATAATAATAAAAGTTATATTTAAGAAACTTATTGATATGTTTTAATTTATTTAATTAATTATAAAAATTATTACCATTAATGATGAATTTAAATATATAATTATGATAATGTTCATTTAGTTGCAATATTATCCAAAAAAATTAAGGAAATATAAAAAATTATTTTTAATATTATTAATTACAAATGTAATAATAATAAAAAATTATATTTAAGACACCTATTGATATGTTAAACTATATTTCAAAATTATTAAATTTTTGTTACCATTAATTATAATTTTATTAATTATGATATAAACTACTTAATAACATCTACTATATATTTATTTTATTAAAAAAATAAAAAAACTGATAAAAAAAAATATATGATCAAGTGGACCCACTAATATCTTTTTTTTATATATATATATACAGACTAGTGTAATAAAAATTCGATCTCAACAAACTTACCAAGTGTGTTTGTTTTGGGTCTGGATTTTGAGTTGAGATTTGAATAGTAAAAATTTTGAATTTGAATAGTTGTATGATGTGATATAAATAGATGTTGATGTGATATTTTGAATGTAAAATTGAATTTTAGTATAATATAAAAAGTGAAAAATAGGTATTTGATTTGATGTTTTTGGGCGGAAAAAATATGATAGAATAGTGTATTTAAAATCTAATCCCCAAACAAACACACCCGATTATTCCATGGTAAGCACAAATAATTTTTAAATTTATGCCTCTAAACTCCAAACAATACTATTAGTTATATTTTTACTAAATACTTAAACCAGCACATAAACTTAATATGATACAAGAACCAAAGAACATAAGGGTTCCAGTTTCTGATTAGATATTGAATCCGATAAAATTGATCTCATATATATCATTACCTCAAACATAACATAAATACTCACTCCGTCCCGGTGCAAGGTTGCCGTTTAGTTTTTGCACGTAGATTTTTTAATATTAATATTATAATGGGTTGTAGTGAAAGACGAAAATACCTCTATTAGTATCGTGTAATATAAAAGTAATGTCATTTATGTAATATAGTGTAAGTTGAAGGATATTTATTATGTTAGGTATGTAGTACATTTACTAAATTAGGAAATAGTAACCTTGTTTTGAAATTGACGAAAATGAAAAATGATACTGTTTCAATTAAACGGGTGTACAAGAATTAATCAATGCACCCAAACACAATAGTTATGAATAAACAACACCCAAATTTAGCAACAAAGCTGTAGATAAATTCCTTGAGATCACTACTTTAAATATAAACCATTAAAATGATTTCAAGTGATTATTATCAAATAATAGAAAACCTTTAAGATTACATGGGAACAAATTAGTATAATGATTTATAAGATAAACTCATTGTATATTTAAAATCTGACTAAAGATTAATATCACCGGTCTATTAATCCATTGATCTTACATTAACATTTCTACCAAAATAAATTGTCCACGTTCTCTATATCCACACCTGAATTTGGTAAAAAATTTACCGGGAATAAATAGCAAGCCAACAATATTAGCATTTAATCTCAATTCTCAAAGACTCGAAAGACAACAAATTGTAAATTGTAATAAGTTTTGAGCCTATGAACATTGAATAGTTTTAGAATTCACA